CACTGAGATGCTTGATGTTAGAGGCAGCCAGGGCACTGGACTAGTAGGACGGAGCACTTTGGATGTTTCTCTAGTCTGTAAGCATAGAATGATTGGTAAGGAAAGACTGAGTAAAACAGAGACAACAGCTAGTGTCTAAACAAGTGAGCACACACCCAGCCTCGCCTCCCATTTAAGGCTGGTGAGCTCAAGAGAAGGCGACTGCCATGCAATGTCCCCCCGACAAAAGCAGGCGGTGGGTGCAAAAAGCTTGCTTTTCAGGTCAGCTCTGGAGGGAAAGCCACATTTCTGAACTGTTAGGATCCTTCTGATTTCTAGGTTTGTCCACAAAGAATCTTGCTCTTCAAGGGGATCAAAGACCAAAGAGAGATTTTGGGCAGCCACAGTAAAAATGCACTCTATCCTTCTCACTTATAAAGGACCTTTAAAATCCAAACTATGGCTTCCTCACTAAGCCTATTCAGGCATCCTCCCCACACCCTCCTCATTGCCTCCTTGTTCCACTTCCATCCTTGTTTCTTCCTCTCTTAGCAATTAATTACCGTAAACGCTCCTTCCTTCTAAGGAGCTGTCAAAGACTGTCCTTTGCTCCCGAAGGCATTCTGGACATGTCCTAGCCCTTAATTTGTGGCCAAATACCAATGCCAAGATGCTTTTCATCTCTGTATTTTGCTAAGAAAGAAACATACTTAATAAATTCTCACCCTACTTCCTGGTTCATTCCATTATGCAATGCCTATAGCCAGAAACTTCGTTCTATCAGTCTATAGAAAGGACTTTGCTTATAATTCCTCTTTCACATAAACACACACACACACACACACACACACACACACACACGCCAGAATCCCTATCTCAGATGTATATTTAAAATACCACTAACAATTAAGAATGTATTTATATCTTATACAAGTTTAAACCCTTGCAGAGAATCTACACTGTGCTGGGTAAGCCAGGCGTCCTATCTCTCATTTGCGGAGCCACACATAACTTGCTTTAGACAAATGTTGATATTTGGGGGTAAGTTTCCCAGTGTGTAAAGGTATATCCTCAATGCTCTCAATACTTGAGCAAGTGGACCACCTGGCAAGTCCTGGCCTCACGGCAGCTGGATGTGGGACACTACTTTCAAGGCCCTGCAAGTTTGGAAGAGTAGAGAGCGCTTGATTTATTTGTCAAGAAGGTAATGCCATTGAGATCCTTCCAGCTGAATGCTGGTCCAGATCGAAGCTGGGTTCCCTGAGACCAGGATTCACGCCAAGTCTTCTTTTCCCATGGCTGACTCTCAGCCTTGGCTCCACTTTTTCCCGCAGGCTAACCTGGGACGTGACACGAGGAAAGAAAGGCCTTCCAGGAATTAGATGAGAAGCAAGACAAAAGGCCGCCAAACACAGTCCAAACCATCACTCAGTGAGGCAAACACCCAGATCACAGTACCCGGTTCCCAAGAAGGCAGAAGAGAAAGTGTCCACCCCTTTACAACTCATAGTTAATCCAGATGTTCCGAAAACAGCAGGAATGTGCTACGTTTTTTTTTTTGCCAAGGCACCACCAAAGGCTTATAATATTAGGAAACTATGGAAGCTGAAGTGGGAGACAGAATGACTTTCCCAAACTTCTCTGAAATAAGGGATGAGAAGACATTGTGTAAAGGCTGCTGGGTAACACACCGCACGCCAGGAACACCTGGTTGGGCTGGTGTTCCTAACCAGTCAGTGCCAGTGTCGTGCTGGATTAAATATTTATTTCCTCTCCAGACATCTGGGATAGAATTAACCTCACTGGCTCATGTTACTATTTGAAAATCCAGAAAGCAAATGGTTTGAATCCCCGTTAACCACTAAACATTTGGCTACGTAGTGTTTGTCTCTTGGGCTTCAATTTTATCACCCTGTGTAACAACACAGCCTGACCTGAAGAGGGAGTTATTTGGGCTCCTGGGTCAACATTCTGTCACGGGGGGAAGCAAGTACAGCGGTAAGGGGCTCTTGTCTCTGGACACCACAAACAGGCATGTGATCAGCTACCAGCCAACCGGTTGGCAGTTTGAATTATGCAGAGGATGCAGGAAGACCCCGCCCTCTGCTTCGACAGGTCACCACCGTGAAAGCCCCGCGAATTCGGTTTGGTTGTCCCTATGACTGCTTGTTGGCCTCTAGATGCCGGTCAAACCAATTGGGGGTGGTGATGATGACAACAATAGTGCCATTCAACCAATGAACACCTGCCACGCAACAGGCATTTCCATATACTATCTCCTGCCATGGTCACCACAGCCTCCGAAATAGACACTATTGTCCCCTCAGCTGAGACTTGCCTAAGATCGAAGAGCAAGTAAGTTGTGGCTCTGGATCTGAACTCTCACTTTGGCTCTAGATCCGCCCTTCTACCTTTAGTGTGAATGAATGACTTTGACTCTTGCTGTTAAGGACACACTTTCTTTTTGGCTTTCTTCCCCAAACATTCACAGAGCACAAGGATACAGGTTCAGTGGGGCTTACAACCAAAGCATTCAGAAATGCACGATAATTTGTATAATTTGTGAAGGAACACGAGGGAGGATGCTGCGTATTGCTTGCTGGGATATCTCAGAGGAAGGAGAGCTAATACAAGGAGCCAAAACCCAGCTGCCGTTAAGTTGATTCTGACTCTGTCAGGGTAGACCAGTGCTTCACAGGGTTTCAAAGGCTAGTGGTTTTTAGCTTCCTTGGGTGGGTGGATTCAAGCTTTTAGTTAGCTGTTAAGCGTGATAAACATCTACCTCCATTCTGACTCGTCGAGACCCTATAGAACAGAGTAGAGCTACCCCATTGGATTTCTGAGACTATACATCTTTACAGGAACAGACAGCCTCCTCTTTGTTCTCAGGAGTAGTTGGTGAATGTGAACAGCTGATGTTGGAGTTAGCAGTCCAATATGTAACCCACTACACCAACAGAACTCCTTAACAAGAACAGAGCCCCTAAGGGGAACTAGTCGCAATGATCGAAGTACAACCCCCACCCCCCACTGAGGGGGGCAAAAACAAAAACGTGGGTGAAGGGAAACAGCGAACAGTGTAAAATGTCCCCCGAAGGTGGGAGGATGGTGGGGTGGGGGTGGTGGAAGAGGAGCTGATAGCAAGGGCTCAAGTAGAAAATAATGTTTTGGAAATTATGATGGCAACATATGTACAAATGTGCTTGATACAATGGATGTATGGATTATTTTAAGAGCTGTAAAAGCCCCTAATAAAATGATTTATTAAAAAAATAAAAACATAAAATGAAAGAATAAAACTTATGATGTCCATTAAAAAAAAGTAAAAAGAATAAAGGCTTGAAGGTAAATAAGTGGCCATCTAGCTGAGAATCACCAAAGCCCACATGGAAGAAGCACACCAGCCTGTGTGAACATGAGGTGTCGATGGGACCAGGCATCAGGCATCAAAGACCCAGAACAAAACAAATAAAAAGCATGTCAATGGGAATGAGGGGGAGTGCAGAGTGGAGACCCAACGCCCATCAGTAGTCAATTGGACACCCCCTCTCAGAACAACCACAAGGAAGAGAAGAGCCAGCCAGGGTACAGTACAGCACCGATGAAACACACAACCTTTCTCTGGTTCTTTAATACTTCCCCCACCCCCTGCCACTACCATGACCCCAATTCTATCTTATCAATCTGACTAGACCAGAACATGTACACTGGTACAGATAAGAGCTCGAAACACAGGGAATCCAGAACAGATAAACCCCTCCGGACCAATAAGGGGAGCAGCGATACTAGGAGGGTAAGGTGAGGCAAGGAGTAAGCGGGAACCGACCACAATTATCTACATATGGCCCCAATCCCAAGGGGATGGACAGCAGAAAAGGGGGAGAAATAAGACAGCAGTTGGGGTAAAACATGGGGGAAAAAAGAGAACAATTTATAAATTATCAAGAGGGTAGGGGTAAGGATGGAGGGGGGGCGGAGGCAGGGGGTAAAATGAGGAGCTGATGCCAGGGGCTCAAGTAGAAAGAAAATGTTTTGAAAAAGATGATGACAACATATGTACCAAGGTGCTTGACACTATGGATAACTGTATGGATTGTGATGAGAGCTGTAAGAGCCCCCCAATAAAATTTTTTTAAAAAGAAGAGGGCCCCAGAAATGGAATCATTATAAAATCAAGTGGGTGGGTTATGCTTTGGACTGATGACTATGAGACGGAAGTATTCACAGTGAGCCCTGCAACGTTCCCAGGAGAGCTGTCATGACCGAGGTCTGCATTACCTAGTGCTGAGATGGACACGCCATGCATCTCCCCTGCATCGTTAATAGGAAAAGCTGTGAAAATCCTAACTTCAGCCAACTTCTTCAGTGTTCCACAAGGACCCAGGCACAGTTATTTCACATTTTCAACCCTTTTCATTTATCTTAACAGGTTTGCTCAGCTCCAGTTAATACCCTCCTCAGCCTTGCCAGGAGTCAAGCCCTTCCAAGGGTCTGTGCATGAGTCACCTGCAGGAGGACTGGGTGGTGTGGCTCACAGGCAAGTCTCAGGAGCCCCAAAGGAACGTGTCTCAACGTCTCCGTGGCATTCCTCCCGCTGTGCTATTTGTCTTTCTTTTGCCCATTTTCTGCCTTTTCACACCACTCAAACTCACTGCCGTGGAGTCAGTGCTAACTCGGCACTGTCACTGAGACGGTCACTGATGATGGGAGTAGAAAGCCCAGTCTTTCTCCCAAAGAGCTGCTGGTGGTTTCGAACTGCCGACCATGAGGATTGCAGCCCAATGTGTAACTACTACGCCACTAGGGAACCCTTTCAACCACACAGTGCTTATATATTTTTCATTTGATCATGCTGGAACTTTAACCATAAAACCCCCTTCATGGAAGTATAAATAGGTAAGCAAACAGACCCCTGTCACCACAAGGGAAGCGGAGCTGTCTGCATTCCCCTTGGGATCCCCCCCTGGTCTACCCTCTGAGAGAGGAGAAAGACGGTACTGAAAGCAAGGGCTGAAGAGAACCTAGCTGGAAGTGGTCGATCTTCATGGTGCTGTTGTGGGCTGGGCCAAAGATGGTGATCACGGAGAGTCTCCTGGTCGCCATTTTGCAGAAACTTTCCAGATAGTCATCTCGCTGCTGCACATACATGTGGTTCTCAGCCTTGGGAGCGGTGATCAGCTGGAGGTGGGTGAAGTCAAGCAAAGATTAATTTGCATGGATAGTTTCACATCGGCGCAAAAGCCAAGCAGATAATTCAGGACAGTGGTGATGGCTGGCAGGTAAGCTACTGCCTATTCTATTGGACAGTCAATAGAATCAGGGCCACAAGAGATTCGTTGAAAGGGGATGTTTAGAAAATGGTGCCAGCCAGCTTGGAGTTTTCTCCACTTCCCTTCAGGACTACTTCTCCCTGTGTCCTACTTTTCTCATTTGTGAACGCTACAGGAATATTTATTTCGCAAGGCTTTTTGAGCCTCACATGAACACTTGGCAGTTAGTGCTACTCCTCCCTTATCCCAGTTGGCTTATCAGACATTCACAGATTCAGGGGTTACAACTATTACTTCATGTTCAACTGACTTGAACTTCACAAGTGGGTTTTGAGAACTATGGGGAGATTCCATGGTTCAACTTTTTTTTTTTTTTCAATTTAGGCAATCTTGAAGAAAGTTTTTAGGATGGTCTTTAAGCCTGGAAAAATATATATATATAATTTTGTCATAGAAAAATTTGTGTCCCAATGTGCGTGTGTGTGTGTGTGTGTGTGTGTGTGTGTGTGTGTGTTCTGATAGACATCATTTGATATTGGAGCATGTTTTCATTCTTTCCACCCAGCCTTCTTTCCAATTTAGGTCTGGTATTTTTCACTTCAAAATTCAAACTCACTCCCCTTAATGCTGACTCACAGTGACCCCGTCGGACAGGAGAGCACTGCCCCTGTGGGTTTCACAGGGTGTAACTCTCTATTGGAGCAGAAAATCTCATCTTTCTCCTGCAGAACAGCCAGTGGTTGCCACCTGCTGACTTTGCAGTGCGCTGCCCAATGTGTAACCACCAGGGCTCCAACCATTCCCTCAGCAAACCTGTCTCCTCGTCAGTAGTAACCCCTGGCTTCTTCTGAGGAACAGAGGAAAGATAGAAAAACTGAAAGGAGTATTTTTCGAGATGAAACCCCTGGGAAAAGGATTATTTTGTTAGTTTGCATAAAATGGGATACCTCCGTATTTCAGACATCCTTCTGAACCCTTTAAGGAAGTCTCACATTTTTTACCTCTCCCAGTGTCAAATTTCTCTAGCCCCTTGATTCTTTTGCCACCCTGGGTTGAGCCTTCTCTAATAGCACCAGAATTTTCCTGAGCTGAAATCGCCACGATGTGACATGAGAGACTAGGCATGTTGCGTTAGTACAAACATGTGAAGTTAATTCTGCTGGCTCTTCCTGATGACCGTACCTTCCGGCGCTAACGCGTTTAATGAACATTACTTGTCTTTTGCTGATTCACTACTGAGCTCATAAACAAGCCTTCTGAAAGGAGTGTTCCTTAAACGTTCTCTTTGATTTGACCACATTCTAATTTATTGGACACTTTTCTATTTACTCGCCTAGTCTTATGAAACTTCTCTTTGGCTTGGGATTTCTACTGGAGCCAGTTTTCTCAGGTCCCCTCTGACTCGTGGTGACCCTATCTGTGTCATTCAAAGTGCCCCATATGGCTTTCAATAACTCGTTCTTTAGCATTGGATCATAGCCCCCCCTGCAATGCTTCCAAATAGACTTGGCCCCCAAGCCTCTTGGTTAGTATCCAAGTGAGCTAACAGTCGGCTTCACCCACTTTGGCATTTTCCTGAGGGGAAGATGGCAACGTTTTTAAACCTCTTCCAAATACTTTATAAAAATTCTAATCAATCAGGTACCAGTTTGATCTTGCCATATATTTTTCTCCATCAGTGTTTATTGTTGCGTACAGGTTATATATGAAAAAAGGATTATTGCTCATGGAATTGAAAAATGTGTTTAATAGCCTTTCAGTAGAATATTAACGAAGGTTTCTGGGGTAAAATTTTTTTTCCTATTATTTATTTTAATTAGGTGTGATATAGCTTATTTTTTAAATTTTGGGTTTGTTGATTTGATTGTTTAGGATGGACATGGTGAGTAAGAAGCACTTGTTTTAGAAATATAACTTCTCAGGGCGGGGGGTGGAGAATAATATGTCTCCAAGCTTATTAATTTATTTATACTTGTGTATGTGTGTGCTATGTCCTGTCCAGTTGCTTCCAAACTCACTATACAACAGGACAGACACTGCATTGCCGTGTGTGCCAACCTTACAATTCATTGTTATATTTGAGCCCATTGTTGCAGCCACTGTGTGAATCCATCTCCTTAAAGGTCTGCCCACTTCTTTAAGGATTCTCTACACTGCCAAGCATAATGTCTCATCTCCAGGAATAATTCTTCCAGTTAACATGGCCAAAATGCAAGACAGAATTATTCATTCTTTTGGCAGTCCATGGTATTTTCAATATTCTTGGAGGACATCATAATTGAGATATACAAATTCGCCTTCTTCCAGATTTCGCATGCATATGAGGCGACTGAAAATACCATGGCTTGGGTCAGGCACAACTTAGTCTTCAAAGTAACATCTTTGCTTTTTAATATGTTATTCACAATTCACAATTGGATGATGATTTCCGGAGTCAGTCTCCCATTCACCAGTTTACGCACGTTTTTGTCTCTTGCCGTGACTTGCAATTCCCATCATGTAACCACTCATCCCACTTCCTTCCTGTGCTTCCCATTTCTTCTCCTTTTCTAACCCTTCCTGCCCTTTGAAATTTGTCCTTGGGCAAATGCTCCCCCTTTAAAAAAAACAAAAACAAAAACAAAACAAAACAAAAAAACAACAACAACAAAAAAAAATGCTCCCCCTTTGATCTGGAATGGATGATAGTCCTACAGATTGTTGTTGTTCACCTTGTACACCCGTCTGTGGTTTGTCTGAAAACTGAGCCATGTGGTGAGTTCCCCAGTCTGAGGGAGCACTAATGACCACACTCTCTGGACTCCCACCAATCTTGTTAACCCTTGAAACAGGTCTTTTGCAGCAGATGTGCCTGTGCAATATGTTTGATTTCTTGATTGCTTCTTCTTTGGGTAGCGATTGTGAATTCAGGTCAAAATTAAATCATCGACAAGTTTAATCTTTTCTCCAATTATTTTGATGTTGCTTATTAGTCAAATTGTGAATTATTATTATTATTATTTTAATTTAAAAGCTAAGGTATAATCCGTATACCTTGTAGCCGTTGATCTTTATGGGCAAATACTTAAAGTCCTTTTCACTTGCAGCAAGACTGTGTCTGCAAATTGCAAATTATTAAGAAGTCTTCCTCAAATCTTGGTGCTGAGTTCTAGTGCAGTTTCTGGGATTACTTGCTCACTGTACAAATTAAATCATCATAGAGAAAGAATACAACCCTGAGGCACGGCTTTCCTAAATTTAAACCACTTAGTAGCCTCTTACTCTCATCCAATGATTGCCTCTTGGTCTGGACTCCACATGAGACAATCAAATGTTCTGAATATTTTATCCTGTCTGGTATTCTCTGCCATCAACCAAGATTTATCTGATATCAGCAATGATTTCCCCTGCTCTACATCCTCTTCTGAATCTGATGTGAATTTCTAGCAGATCCCTGTTAATTAATGCTGTTTTCACATTATCTTCAGCAAAATTTTACTTGTATGTGATATTGTTTGATAATTTTCTCAGTGTCCTGAATTGCCTTCCTTTGACCTGGTCAAAGGATCCCTTCAAGGCAGTTGCTTTAGCCATTTAAGGTATTTATATAAATATGTGGTGGTAGTAATTTTAGTTTGTTTTAATGAGCATTTGAATTTTTTTTTCTTTTCAAATTTTGAGGGTAGCCCAAATCGGGGAGTTGTATTTTGATTCAGGATATTTTAGTCTTTTTTAACTTCTGGCTAATCCTCATTCATAAACACACTCTTTAAAAATAAATAAAATGAGTGTTTTAAGTGCAAACACAAGACAGGCAAGCCTTTTTTTAAAAGCTAGAGGAGGATATTTACTGTTAATGAGTACTCAGTCAAGGCTCAGACCTGACTCGAGCAATACTCTTGTGTTTGTTAGCTTTCTGTCCTAAATTAGGAGTCCTTACCCATGAGGCTGCTAACCACAAGGCCAGCAGTTTGAAACCACCAGCCATTCTATGGGAGACAGGTTGGGAGCAAGACAAGGCTTTCTAGTCCTGTAAAAATGTACAGTCTTGGAAACCCACAGGGGTTTCTTGCCATTTTAGTCTCTGTCAGTTGGAACTGACTTGACGGCAGTGAGTGTGTAGTTGGGCAAACAGTTAACACTTGTGATTGCTGACAGAAAGCATGCAGGTAGACTCTCAGAGGTGCTTGGGAACGAAAGCCTGGTGGGTGACCTACTTCAGAAAAAAAGCATCCATTAAGCCTCTTATGGAACAAAGTTATATTTTCACACAGAATCAACTCAATGTCAACTGCTGGTGCTGGTGGATTTTAAGTAATGGATAAGTCCATGTTCAGAATATTTGTACAAAGAGTCACCAGGGCACAACTACCCAGATGCTGTCACTGCCGTTAGTCGATGCTGACTCGTGGTGACCCTTTAGGACAGGGTAGAGCTGCCCTGTGGGGTTCTGAGACTGAAACTCTTTACCAGAATAGAAAGCCTCATCTTTCCCCCTCGGAGTGGCTGGTGGTTTCGAACTGCGAGATCACTGACAATTACCTGACAGCACTGGTGCTGTCAGGTAATTAAATGTTGGATGGCAAACTACAAGTTTGGCAGTTCAAACTCACCAGCTGCTCCAAGGGAGATGTATGAGGCAATCTCCTGCTGTAAAGATTTTCAACGCCTTGGAAACCTTACATAGGATTGCTAAGAATTAGGATCAAATCAATGGCATTAGGTCTCTAAGGGCAAAACCATCCATATCCCCAATTTCTTTCATCTTATACTATGCCGTGAACTCTTAAAACGCTCAGATTGACCATAATACAACAGTATCTTTAGACCCTGCAATGTTCCTTTAGTCTTCTTCCCCTGGTGCATAATTGAGAATTTCAGACGAAGTGTGAATCACTTAGAACTTCACACTCCCTGGGCAGCTCCTTC